TGGGGGCAGGGGAGGGCAAAAATGAGCAAACAATGGGCCATTTTCTTACCCCCAGCCCCCAGCAGCTCTCTATGAGCTTCCATAAGGCTATGCATGCTTTTTTTTTTTGACAAAAAACAAACCCGTTTTTGCGAAAAATGGTCTGTTTTTGCTCATTTTGCCCCCCCCCGGAGCACTCTGCAAGCCCCCCCCCAAGACTATTTATGCTTTTCTTTTTTAAAAACATGTCCGTTTTCATGAAAAACGGGCCATTTTGGGGAGGTTTGCAGAGTGCAAAAACTTTTTTCCCCTTTTTGGAAAGCTCTTTAACTGATTGATGAGAATTAAATTGATCAAGTGCTCTGCCAGCAGAAACAAAGTCTTAGTGTTGCAGATAGGTAGCAATTTCCTTCTCCAGCACATGGATAAATGCACATGGAAACATCTACCTATCTATCTTCTCTCTCTCCCTACCTACCTACTGTATTTTTCTTTCTTTCTCTCTCTCTCTCTCTCTTTCTCTCTCTCTCTCTCTCCCTCTCCCTCCCTACCTACTCTCTCTCCCTACCTATCTACTGTATTTCTCTCCCTCTCTCTCTATTTCTCTCTCTCTTTCCATCTACCTATTCTCTCTCCCTCTCTACCTATCTACTGTATTTCTCTCTCTCTCTCTCTCTCTCTCTCTCTCTCTCTCTCTCTCTCTCTCTCTCTCTCTCTCTCTCTCTCTCTCTCTCTCTGTCTCTATCCCTCTACCTACCTACCTATCTACACACACACTCTCCCTACCTATTGTATTTCTCTCTCTCTCTCTCTATTTCTCTCTCTCTCCCTTTATCTATCTAATTACTTAATACTTTCTCTCCCTACCTACCTACTGTATTTCCCTCTCTTTCTCTCCCTCTCTATCTACCTACCTACTTTGCCTCTTCAAAACCTTATACTCCAAAAAATACAGTAATCCATTATTTGCTGAGGGGAAAGTGAGAGACTTAGTTTTTGGGGGTACAAGATCTATAAGTGGCAACTGTGAACAACAAGGATTTCTTCAGATTTTCTAGTTTAAACATTATATTGTCTTGTTCTTTTTGTGGTAAGGAGCCAAAAGCATTAAAAAGCCCAGCTTCTATGCTGAGAACATCTTCAACAAGTAACGTTGACTGATTTCCACACTCTTGCTCTCTCAAGATTGGGAGTGAAGAAACAGTGACATTGGGAGCTAGCATGTTAGCCATTAAAAGTTTAATGTTTTCATTATAATAGACTCTGGTAAGAAATTTTTTAAAGAAAGCTAGATATGCTCTCATCCTGAATAGCATCAAAGAAATGGTAGACTGCTTAAAGGAGAGGAGTATTCACTTCCAAATTGGGATATCTGGGAGCCATTTAACAGCACACAGAGCAATCTGCCTGTTTTGGCAGTGAAGAAGCTGACCTAAAGAAGCTAGGATTGCTCTCCTGGTATTCCGACATCCGTTAAGTCTGTTCATGCAAATTTGGAGAGCAATCTGTTGTGTTTGCAATGAACAATTTAATTTAATGGAGGATACTTTTCTGGCTTCCAAGCAGTGACGTGCAGTGAGGTATATGGCTGGTGAGGCAAGCAGGCAAAAGCTGCCCTATGTCGGACACAGCAGCAGGGCATTCAGATGCCCCACCACTGTGTCTGACATAGAGGCATCCTGCAGGAGGAGAGGAGGGGGGCAGTCTCAAGCCCCCCACCCTGCTGGCAAAGTTGCAGAGGGGCCATTGTGGGGGGGGGGGAGTCGTCTCCTCCCCCCTCTGTCCTTCCCTGCCTCTCTTACCACACTTGCTGAGTCTGATCTGGGCCAGTTTGGGGGCATGCTAGCCGGCACCCCCCGGCCCAAAGCTGCTGGTGTCCTTCAGGCAGCAGACAAAGCCCAGCAGCGCTCCCTCACTGCTTCCCCGTGGGGGCTCAGCTGCACCTCTGACATCACGATTGCCCGGCCTGAGCGGAGTGCAGATGCTGCCGCCACCGCTCACAAAAGGAGCGAGCCCAGCAGCTGCACAGCAGCGCTCCTGGCTCAGTGGTGCCCAGCAGGAGCCTCCCTCACCCTCCGCTCCTTTCACATGCCCCGCTGCTGTGTCCGACATAGAGGCATCCCACAGGAGGAGAGGAAGGAGGCAGCCTCAAGCCCCCCCTTGCTGGCAAAGTTGCAGAGGGGCCATTGTGGGGTGGGTCATCTCCTCCCCCCTCCCTCCTTCCCCGCCTCTCTCACCGCACCTGCTGCGTCCGATCTGGGCCAGTTTAGGGGCATGCTTGCCGGCGCCCCCTGGCCCAAAGCTACTGATGTCCTGCAGGCGGCAGGCGAAGCCCAGCATTTCCCCGTGGGGGCTCAGCTGCACCTCCGACATTGCAATTGCCTGGCCTGAGCAGAGCGCAGATGCCGCTGTCACCGCCCGCCTAAGGAGTGAGCCCAGCAGCCATGCAGCAGCGCTCCTGGCTCAGCGGCACCCTGCAGGAGCCTCCCTCACCCTCCACTCTTTTTGGATGCCCTGCCACTGTGTCCACCATAGATGTGGGATACCTCTATGGTGGACACAGCGGCAGGGCTTTTGGATGTCCAAAAGCCCTGGTGCTGTGTCCGCCATAGAGGCTTTTGGCCGCCCTGCCACTGTGTCCACTATAGAGGCAGGATGCGTCCCACCTCTATGGCGGACACAGCAGTAGGGCTTTTGGATGTCCCAAAGCCCCGGCGCTGTGTCTGCCATAGAGGCTTTTGGACACCCTGTGGCTGTGTCCGCCATAGAGAAAAAACTTCCTTAGACCAATGGAAAGCTTCAAAGAATCAATGCTGGATGGAACCAAAGCCACCATGCCGCCCCGGCGCTAGAGGCAAAAGCCACTCTGCTGCTATGTCTAAAAGCCTTGGCGTGCTGCTATGTCCAAAAGCCCTGCCGTATGTCCAACATAAAAAAAATGCCAGCTTGTGTGCCAGCAGAGGCGGGTAAAACACACACACACACACACACACACACACACAAATTACTTGCAATAATACAATTACTTACAAATTAATTTTGAATTCATCCCCCTCCCTCCGACCCACATACCTTTTCCAGCTGTTTCACAGAGGATTTCAACTCTGCTCTTGTCTGCCATGATGAAAATGTAAAAATGTAAAAGGAAAAAGGCAAGAGCTGCTGAGGTGAGGCTGGGTTAGCTGCTGCCAGAGTCCCCAATGGATGACTCTGCTTAACTGTTTAAAAAAAGCCTCTAAAAAAAGTGCCCTCTACAGGAGGAGGCAAGAGAACCACGTGCCTCATCCACATAAGGAATTTTTCGGCTTTTAACACTTGCTTAGCTCTGCTCGAGTGATCATAAAGTCAGACTAGACGAGGCACCTCGTTCTCCTGCTGCCTCCTGTAGAGGGCACTTTTTTTAGAGGCTTTTTTAAACAGTTAAGCACTAAGCAGAGTCATCCACTGTGACTCTGGCAGTAACTACCTCAGCCTTTTTCCTTTTAATTTTCTTTTCATGATGACAGTGATGAGGCCCTGCCTCCCTTGCCTCCCCTGACTGCACATCACTGCTTCCAAGGAATCTTTAACATTTATAAGTTCCCCCTTTCTGGGCTTTATCAGAAGATAGAGAATTATTCTTAGAGAGCTGTGGCTTTTGACAAGTCCTTTAGCTATTTCTTTCACTCTGCTCCTTATTAGTACATTTGACCTTATTAGCACACTTAGAAAGCTGTGGTGGTACAGTGGTTAGAATGCAGTTCGGCAGGCTACTTCTGCTGATTGCCAGCTGCCAGCTGTTCCACAGTTTGAGTCTCACCAGCTCAAGGTTGACTCAGCCTTCCATCCTTCCGAGGTGGGTAAAATCCCAGATTGTTGGGGACAATGTGCTGACTCTGTAAACCGCTTAGAGATGGTTATAAAGCATTGTGAAGTGGTAAGATTAAGTGCTACTGCCTGGAGTGGGAGATTTGACTGTGTCTGTTACAGAGGCTTTTGAAGAAAAACAACTATATCTGTTTTCAATGTCTCCAATTCATGTTTTATGGCTGTAAAGGTCTCAAATATTGAGATTGCGCTTTGAGGAAGAATTGTTTTACCATAAATTCAGTTTAATTTTTCCATTAAAGCACAATTGAATAATATGTAAGAAAATAAAATAAAATAAAAATACAAGACAACATAGATAGTATTAATTTCAAAATAATAATAAATTTAGGGACAAATTGTCAACTCAGTTTGAGAAGTCGTGCATGGACACACTGCCTCAGCTTAATTGCTGGAGCAACAGATTGCTCATAGTTGCCCTTGGGCGGGATAAGAAGAGCCTGTTCTCTGAGTCCTCTTCTTTGTTGCAGCCTCAAATGTCTGTGATACTGTAAAAAATCTAAGGCAACAAGCTTGTACCATTTCCAGACAGCAGACAGCGAGCTATGCGTTGATAGTTGAGTATCCCTGTTTCCCTTTGTGTCCAGTGTACAAAGAAGCTGTGGGAAACACCCCTCCCCCAAGAATAAAATATTTTGGGGAATATTAAAAGAGACAGAATATTATATTTCCCCAAAGGAGAAATGAAAAAACATGTTTTTAAAGGGAGAAAGCAGTCCCGGTCTTCCTGCTATAGGAGAACTCAAGCTGCCTCAACCAAAACCCTTTAGAGTCTTTAGAGATGGATATTTTGTGCCTATTAAAAGATCCAGACCAGCCTATTCATAATATGACCTTGGGTCAATGGTGTTTGTGTGTATGTGTGTGTGCTGTGCAAGAACATGAATTTATATGTATATATAAACAATATGTGTTTATATAAATAAAAGCAAGTAGGTAGTAATAAGAAGTGAGGAGATGATTTGTGCAATAATTTGGTAATAGTCCAGGAGGAAGCTCAGTGAGGTGATGAGGAAATATATATAGCCATAAATATTGAAAACAAATAGTCAAATTCATAATAATGCTTTTCTTTTTGTGTATTAGTAATATTTAATTCATAATTACAATGTGTTGATGTATTAATAAAAAAGAAATGGACACATGTGGTGGTTTTCTAAATTAATATTGTATTTGAATTTCACATCATTGCTTTATAGGATCAAGCAAGCCCTAAGATCCCATTCAGTGGAAACATTCTAGAGGCATAAATAAATAAGCATTATATAGAAAAAAATACATTCTAGAACATTTGATTATATAACAGTAGAAATTGTAAATCAGGATCTGTCACATAGTAGATATAATGCAAGGCACAATTACTTCAACAAAATTACACAGAAACATTAACTTGGAACAGTATTGTAATTCATTTAGAATCATGTGACTAGATTTGAGTTTATTTATTTATTATTCTTATAGACCAGTTTGAAGTGACTAAATGAGTTATCAATATATTTGTCATTTTTTTAACATATCATCAATAATTCTCCACACTTGCAAACCTATAACAAGAGAAAGCATGGTTGGGCAAGATTACATAATTTTACCCCAATTATCATTTGTTTGACCAACAGATTCTTAATTTTAAAAAATTAAATTTGTCTTCAAATAATTTCAGTTCATTAAAAGCCCATTTGTTTAAATAACTAAAGTTATGAAGAGGTAGCAATAAAGCTCATTTTTTCTCAGAAAACCCCCTTTCTTTATCAAAAAGGAAAAAAAGGAATGCTAGAAATGAAAATATTTAAAGGCTGAGATGAAAATTGCAATGCCAGAGGTAAGGTGAATGTTATCAGAAAAGAAGCCATGGCACTGTCTACCATCCCTCCAAATATCATTTTTTTAATTTGCTGCACTGTGACAACAGAGTCTTCTAGCAGAGCAAACATTTATCTGATAGTTCTGATCTTTATGATTTGGTATCATCTGCTACAAGGCATCATCACTGGCATAAAAAGACAGATTATTGCAGGCAGGTTGATTCACTTTTATATTCTGCCAATAGCTATGACCTAGAAGATGTTGGGGCCAAACAGGAGAAGATCATAATTGTCAGGGCTTACAGTCAGTTCGTAATTATTGGGACAATGATAAGGTTTTTGGCATTTGGCCTCTGAACAGCAATAGCCATTATTGGTAACCCTCCCTTAACAACAATAATTGGAACTTGTTACTAAGCAGCATTGTCATAAAGCTTGATGTCACATAACCGTGCCACTTAGCAATAGTGTTTCTGATGCTCTGGTTCCTATGAAAATAACTACAGATTGTTAAGCAAGGATGTCATGTGTCACCATTTGCAACATCCTGCTGACTTCTCAATGGACTTTGATTGTCAGAAGCAGGCAAATAAGATTGCAAACAGCAATCACATGAGCACAAGATACTGTGACAGGCATAAAAATAAGGATCACTCATAACTACTATTCAGTGCATGCTATCACAAATTCAAATGGTCACTGAACAAGTGATCATTAAATGAAGATTATCAGTATTACACTTTTATCTATAAGCCCACTCAATCTAATTACAGCACTGTATGTTCCTGGTAGTGACAGACAAGTATCAGACAAGACAGAATTTATGTTATCCTTTACATTTGGAATTGAATCCAGCCTTTTGTCTTTTATTCAGTACTCTGTTTTTGTGTTTTCAGAAGTACACTTGCCATAGTTGTGATGTGCTTCCAGGCAAACTGGATATGGGAAGATTCCACTGTGCGGGCACAAATTGCAAAACGCAGCACAAATTTTCCTCTCAGATGACATGGCACAAGATGAATCTTCCTAGCATCATTTATGTTTTTAAGAAGCACTTCATTAAGTTCATTGCTGCCCTAGAATAATGATTAATAGTTATTAATAATAATAATAGTTATTCATGTTAATACATGCCATTCTTGAAGTTGTGTCAGAGATACATTTAAGCCCTTGTGGACCTGTTACAATTTATAAGACAAGAACAACATTGTTCATATTTATGTAGACTGCTTTTCAAGCAATATATATATATATATATATAT